AATCTTATGGAACATCTCTTCATCATCGCTCCAATCATGGACAAGTGCAGGAGTAGCCTTTGAGCTTGGTGCTTCGGTGTTGGGAGCAGTGTTAAATAGATGAGGATCGTGGCGTTTGTTGCATTTGTCTCCATACCGACACTTGCCCTTAGCCCAATGCCAGCATGGTTCATCAATCTTCTTGGTCTTGTTTGCCGGAGATTGACTTCTTGGAGTTCCTGGCTTCCGACCATTCCCTTTTGCGTTCTTATTCGCATCAAACACCTTTTGATCATGACTGTATTCACAATCTTTGCCTTTTCTGCATGATTTCTTGATGAAATGGAAATGGCATGGGATCTTCTTCTTGGATCTAGGGCTGGTACTTCGGCTGTTCGCTCGATCCTTCCCTTTCCCTTGACCTTTTCCCTTTCCTTTTGCATGCTGTTTAGGCTGAGGTGATGGTAGAACTGGAGCTGCATCGGCCTTGGCCTTCGCCTTGGGCGCTGCCTTCTCCTTGGGAGTAGCTTTAGGCTTCGCTTTTGGATTTGCATCCGGTGCAGCGGCAGTTGGGTTCGGAGCAGGAGCTGAAGGTTTGCCGCCACCTGCAAAGTCTCTTGCATACTTCTCTCTGGCGGCCACATGCTTGTCCTCTCTGATTCTGGAGATGTGCCTTTCGATGACGTCCAACAGGTAGCGATAATTTCGTCTTTGGTCTCCTTCCATCCATGACTCGTACTGCTTGATGTCGAACATCATAAGACTCGAATTTCGAATCTTCTTGTATAGAGCATCACGAAGCCAATCGTCAGGAGGTACGTCATCCGGCATCATGTTTGATACCATCTCCATCCATTTCTCGTAGAACACTTCTAGGTTCGAGTCACCGAGATACTTCATCGATACGATGTGTTCCATGGTGAAGGCTGTTTCTCGTTGACCTGGGGTTCTGAAGTGCTCCAGGATCATAGCCAAGATTTCCCGTCCCATGACATAGGTTCCTCTTCGACTATGACTTTGTGTTCTCAATCTCAATTTGATCGCTACATGACGAGCAACATCACCGGCTTGGGCTATCACGTTTGACAATGCAATTGACAACTTGGCGTCGATGGACTGATACCGTTGCCCTCCACTGTCATTCAATAGCTCGATGTCAGGATTTGGTCGAATAGCCGGCTGTAGCCATGCTTCCCATGCGGCTTTATCCCCGTCATTTGCCGAAAGAACAACACTCTTGATGAGATCTGATTGCCAAACCCCAAGATTCTGTTGCTTTGGCCATGGGCTAACATAGACTTTGTCAGCCTCTCGTCTTGACATTCTCGGCACTTCTTCTGCAGTGTAAGCCGCTGTGGAGACATCATCTGCTGAATCGCGTTGTGATCCTCGAACTGAAGGCAAACCTGGAGGTTCGGGAGGCGGTCCTGGACCGTTAGGCCCGAAAGGATCCGGAGGTCCATCAGGATCAGGCGGACCGCCCCATCCACTCGGTGGCTTGTAATAATAGTCCCTCTCGGTTCCGTCAGCGATCTTGTTGTCAACTTCTTTCAGCAGATCAGCGATTCGTTTGTTTGATTGAGAATGTTGTTGTTGAGGAGGTACAGCATGCCCACGATAAGAATGAGCCACATTTGTCTCATAAGTCAACTCCTTGTCGATCTGCGAAACCCAAGATTTCAGAATAGCGTTTTCACAGTTAGCCTCACTCACGTCATTCTCCAGTTTGTCGATGACTAGTCTTGATGCGAGATCGGAGTTGGGAATGCCTGCCGAATAGGATCAGTCCTGACAACAAATGGATCCTTGTCCTGGATGTTTCAGAATCCTTGAGACTTATTCTCAGTTCATCTAAGTGACGTTTCATGTCAACAATCTCAGAATTCTTGATGCCAATCTTTTCATCCCTATCCTGGATTTCCCCCATGAACATGCATGATCTCTCATATTGTTGAACACCACTAGCCAATTTCATTTTGCGCTCACTCTCTAGTTCAGATCTTAGAGTTCGGACCTCAGCATTGGTGAGGGACGACGTCCCTACATCCGCAACTTCAGCCAATCTTTCTTTCAATAACAAGTTCTCTTGTAAACATTCATGAACTTCATGATCTAGATCCTGAACCCTAATTTGAGCAATTTTGGCTTGATTACGTAGATCTTCAACAAGCATTTCATCGGGGCCACGACCGTCGGTCGTAGTACCCTGAGTCAACGATCTTCGCAACTTCGTGTTCTGCAACTTGATCTCATCCTTTAACTCGCAGTTCATCTCCTGCTCATTGGTGTAGAGCTCTTCATAATGCTCAGCCCTCGCGATCGAGTTCACACTAGCCTGTGATTCAAGCCTCAGGTGTGATATCGCTTCGGCCTCTTGGTTCCTGTATGATGCAATTCTTCTGACGGTATCATGTTCGGTGTTTCGATGCTTCAGATCGCTTTCCAATTTGGCCTGATTTGCCTCGAAAACCTTCTTCCTAGATTCTCTAGTGATCTCGTCAATACTGCTTTCATACAGCTCGGCCTGTTTACGAGACTGAACCAACGCTTCACTCAATAGCTGATTCCGTTCAGATAGTTCATGAACTGCAACTGACTGTTGTTGGCTAATCACTTCAAGTTGATTGCTAGAGAAGGATGCCATTTCGGATCGATTACGATATTCCATGATTGAGTTCTGGAAATCTGTTTGCATTTCCCGACCTTCATTGTATAGTCGATTGGCAATATCGGTGGTTAAGACATTGGTTTGATGAAGTTGTTGCAGTCTTGCCTCCGTATTACCCAATAGTCCTTGAAGGTGATGTACTTCATCCTTGTACTCCTCCTGGATCTCCATACCACGTTGATGGATCCGTCGTGCACCATGTTCCATTAGGGCACCTCGGCGCTCAAGGTCTTGGATGCGTATTGTTGCACCTTCATCTTCCTGAGATGCTACCATTAGTTCTGCTTGATATTCTGCAACCTCATTCGCGGAACGTGACAATCTATGATTGAGTGCACTGACTTCATCAAATACATTCTGGTTGTGTTCCTGAAGATACTCGGTGAATCTAATCTCGATGTCATGAATCAGTTGATCTCTAGATGCGGCGTATGCTTCCATTTGGTTCAACTGACTACGTAGGGATTGACATTGTGCCCGTAGTTCTTCTATCATGGCAATAGGTTCACTAGCCACAGAAGTATCCGTTGATCTCCTCTTAACACGACTATCCCCGGTCCTCTCACCAATTCGGTCGGTCACGGCCCTGGTGGATCTGTCCCTAGGAGTAGTTCGTCCTCGAGATGGTCGATGCCCTTGGCGGACAACATCACTCCGAGCACTGTTTCGAGAGGATCTTGGTGTACTTTGGGTGGATATCCTTCGTCTGTTTGTCGTTACTTGCCATCCGGACTGTGTAGTTCGGGTAGAGCGTATCCCACCACTGTCTGCCGTGTCACCAGGGGAAGACTGATTGACCTCCTCGACCGGCATGGCAGTGTTCTCGTTGAAGGTAAACTGCGTGGTGCGCGAATCTCCGCTACCGCCTTGCATCTTTGCGATGATGAGCTGATTGGTCCTTTGCGTCCTCAATCAATTGCTCAGTAGGCCCGGCTACCAGCACGCAGGTACCACTCTCCCGGCGGGAGAAGTGAGCTCCTACGGCTGATAACCTGTGAACAAATGGATCCTTGTCCTGGATGTTATCTCAGACCTGTAGTACCCTTGTTACTGGTAGCCGACAAATGCCATGCGGAGTCACACGACGCATCCCTTTTCTCCATACGCTTGAGCCAATGTTTGGCGGTCACAGCATGTTGTTTTAACACTGCATGCTGTACATGTTGTTTCATCTCGTTCCCTTTAACATATTATATGCACAGTATACATACACGGTATACACGCTCCCAACAGTAATGACAGAAGGAGGATATGGGAGCATTGTAGGATCGTTGGGTTGTTGACTGGACTCGTGCCTTGCTCTGTCAGAATCCAGGATATTTGTCATATTACCCACAGTGTTGCTGACACTTGAAAGTGAGACTGAGGCTCTGATCTTCACGTTCACATGCTCTCTGCAAAAGCTGGGTACTGCTTTCATCCACAATCTGCACGAACAGGTTCACTTCTCAGGATCGTACCCCAGGACAAGCAGCATCGGCATAAAGAATTGGATAATGACGAAGAAGTTGTCCAACTCGGTCCTCAAAAAACGAAAAAATAGTCCAACAACTTTAGATGAGTATATGCAGCATGGTTCTGCCGCGCCATGAATGAAATAATTAGCAATGTGATGCAATGTGTGGGTCTGTCTCTGTGATGATTTGAATATATTTGAATATGTACTTCCAGTTCCTGCTGCCAGGATGGATGAGCATATGTCGGGACTCACAACTCATTCTTTCAGAATCTTCCAGACCTAAACGAGATGGAAAGAGATGGAAAAAGTATAAACAGTTATTAAACGAGATTGGAAAACATGTGTTCTTGGAACAACTCAGGATCAGACCTTGGAACTGGAAACTGTTCGAGCTTGACCTGGATTGTCAGGTGCTTTCCACCAAAAGCACAGCAGCAATCCCAGGCACGGTGAAACTAGATGATACTATATATATATATATATACATATATATATATATGCATATACATATAATGTATATATAATTATATATATATATATATTATGTATATATATATATATAATCTGGACAATGCATGACTGCATGACAGTGCTACACGTGTATTTGGGAAACGCGATGAATACTACCTACTGTAATCCGCGGCTGGAGGCTGCTGAACTCTGGGGCTGGGCTCTGCACCTTCATTCTTCTTCCAGGCTGTGTCCGCGTATTTGCCCCAGCATTTGCGCCTATGCTAAATTTGCAGTACAAAGATGTACAAAGAGTCAATCAAGTCAAGTCTAATAAAGTCTAGTGAGCATCCCATGAGCATCCCATGAGCATCCCATGAAGGTCACTAGAAACTCTCGAGGTGCCTATCCGTCAAAGCCAAAATGGATCTGCATCAGGCAGTGTCTTTTCCTCGCGCACTCAATGGGTCTTGGGACTTTTTTAGTCCTGCTTCAACCCATCTTGTGATTTCCTTGGATGCGATGCAGTCATTCTTCCCTTCGGGCACATCTTGTATTGCATAAAACAAAACCAAAGCTAAAATCTAGGCAAGAACCGTTAGAACAAACGGAAACTGCGACTCTCCTAGGCTTTCTTGTCGCCATGTGTCCACGTGTCAATGAGTTGCATCTGCGTACATGAGGAAGTACACGGGAAGCACATATAATTAGAGAGATGTCTGCAATGCTGCCCTTGCTTCTGAACTTCCAGATTTGGCAACGCTTGTGTGACATGATCTGTCTGAAATACACACCAATCCGGCCAATCCTCCTGTTACTTATTTGATCTTATTTGCATAGATATCATAAATGATTACAAAAGGAAGTTGGGAAGCAATCTTCCGAGTTACGGATGACTTTTACCTGTAACAATACACTCAATGAAGGGTGGTGTGAGACTTTGGTGTGAGACTTTACATCACATAAGAATACACTTAATGCAGGGTGGTGTTAGACTTTGGTATTCTTTGGTGTGAGCCTTTACATCACATAAGAATACACTCAATGAAGGCTGGTGTGAGACTTAGGGTGGTGTCAGACTTTGGTGTGAGACGTTGCATCACATAAGAATACACTCAATGGTGTGAGACTCTGGTGTGAGACTTAGGGTGGTGTCAGACTTTGGTATGAAACGTTACATCACATAGGAATACACTCAATGAAGGCTGGTGTGAGACTTTGGTGTGAGACTTTGGTGTGGGACTTTGGTGTGAGACTTTGGTGTGACGCAGCCTGGTGTTGCCATGTGCGTAGATACGTGCAGGTTTGCGACATGATGCTGAGAAACGCATTGTAATGCATGGGGCTTGTTGGGGAGGAAGCTGGAGAACGAAACCTTCTGTTTTTCCGTGTAAAGTGGCTGCAACCGGCGATGAAAGATACCTCCTGTGTGCGGCGGTTGCGGCTGCGGTCGGTTTGCCTTTTTTTTTGTCGCATTGTAACGGTGGCTTCAAGTTGCTTTGGGTGTGCTTGTGCGTGCGTAGTTATGGGGTGTTTTGGAATCTGTGGTTGCAGATCGCATTGGAATGGCTGCATGATTGTTGTCATCTGGTGTTGCCATGTGCGTAGATACGTGCAGGTTTGCGACGTGATGCTGCGAAACGCATTGTAATGGCTGCATGAATGTTGCACGGGGCTTGTGTTGGGGAGGAAGCTGGGGCACGAGACCTTGCGTTTTTCCATGTGAAGTGGCTGCAGCCAACGATGAAAGGTACCTCCTGTGTGCGGTGGTTACGGCTGCGGTCGGTTTGCTTCTTTTTTTGCCGCATTGTAACGGTGGCTTCAAGTTGCTTTGGGTGTGCTTGTGCGTGCGTAGTTATGGGGTGTTTTGGAATCTGTGGTGGCAGATCGCATTGGAATGGCTGCATGATTGTTGTCATCTGGTGTTGCCATGTGCGTAGATACGTGCAGGTTTGCGACGTGATGCTGCGAAACGCATTGTAATGGCTGCATGAATGTTGCACGGGGCTTGTGTTGGGGAGGAGGCTGGAGCACGAAACCTTTTGTGTTTTTCCATGTAAAGTGGCTGCAGCCAACGATGAAAGGTACCTCCTGTGTGCGGCGGTTGCGGCTGCGGTCGGTTTGCTTTGGTCGGTTTGCTTTTTTTTTTGCCGCATTGTAACGGTGGCTTCAAGTTGCTTTGGGTGTGCTTGTGCGTGCGTAGTTATGGGGTGTTTTGGAATCTGTGGTTGCAGATCGCATTGGAATGGCTGCATGATTGTTGTCATCTGGTGTTGCCATGTGCGTAGATACGTGCAGGTTTGCGACGTGATGCTGCAAAACGCATTCTCATGGCTGCGTCAAGGTTGCCTGGCACCGCGGCTGCGTGCGTAATACTATTCCCTTTTGCAGGTGGAAATCGTAAATCGTATTGGAGTGGCTGCATCAAGGCTGCGACAGTGATTTGTCAGCAGATTTTCTCAATTTTGGCGGTAATAATTTTCCTTTTAAAAATCCTTCTTAAAAAAATCTTCAAAATCGTCTTTTTGTCGCTTTGGCGTCGAGATCCATCCGGTTTTGGAGCTGCAATTCCCGACACAGTTGCGCGTAGTTCTATTGTGCTTTGCAACTCAGTCTCCTCTTGTAGTACAAAGTAGTGCTGGGAAGTGGTTTGTGCAAGCTTTGCAGTACAAAGTAGTACTGGGAAGGACTTTGTGCAAGCTTTGCAGTACAAAGTAGTACTGGGAAGTGCTAGGGCCAAGCTTTGTAGTACAAAGTAGTACTGGGAAGTGCTTTGTGCAAGCTTTGTAGTTCAAAGTAGTGCTGGGACGTGCTTTGTGCAAGCTTTGCAGTGCAAAGTACTACTGGGAAGTGCTTTGTTCAAGCTTTGTAGTACAAAGTAGTACTGGGAAGTGCTTTGTGCAAGCTTTGTAGTACAAAGTAGTACTGGGAAGTGCTTTGTGCAAGCTTTGTAGTACAAAGCAGTACTGGGAAGTGCTTTGTGCAAGCTTTGTAGTACAAAGTAGAACTGGGAAAGACTTTGTGCAAGCTTTGTAGTACAAAGTAGTACTGGGAAGTGCTTTGTGCAAGCTTTGTAGTACAAAGTAGTACTGGGAAGGACTTTGTGCAAGCTTTGCAGTACAAAGTAGTACTGGGAAGTGCTTTGTTCAAGCTTTGTAGCACACAGTAGTACTGGGAAGTAGTTTGTGCAAGCTTTGTAGTACAAAGTAGTACTGGGAAGTGCTTTGTTCAAGCTTTGTAGTACAAAGTAGTACTGGGAAGTAGTTTGTGCAAGCTTTGTAGTACAAAGTAGTACTGGAAAGTGCTTTGTGCAAGCTTTGTAGTACAAAGTAGTACTAGTACTGGGAAGTGCTTTGTGCAAGCTTTGTAGTACAAAGTTGTACTGGGAAGGGTTTTGTGAAAGCTTTTGGCGTTGCATTGCGCCGGGGTCGTGCGCAGGTCATGTTCTTGGACAACAACACTGCAACAGCTTCGCACAAAGCACGCACGCACGGGCCTGGCTGGCGCACGGCGCATGCAAGTTCTCGAAGTAGTACTGGGAAGTGATTCATGAAAGCTTAGATGACATATGAGAAGAGATGAGATGAGAAGAGATGAGCTGGGATAAGGTGAGAAGAGATCAGATGAGATGAAGTGTGGGGTGTGAAGGGTGCAGTGTGAAGTGTGGAGTGTGAAGTGTGAAGTGTGGAGCGTGAAGAAAGCAGTGAGAAGTGAGAAGTGTGAAGTGTGGACTGTGAAGTGTGGAGTGTGAAGCGTGGAGTCTTAAGAGTGCAGTGTGAAGTGAAGTGTGGAGTGCGAAGAGTGCAGTGCGAAGTGTGAAGTGTGAAGTGTCTAGTGTGGAGTGTGAAGAGTGCAGTGAGAAGTGTGAAGTGCGAAGTGGAGCTTCAAATGTGACATGTGAAACAGGACACAACTTTCGCAGAATGCACGCACGCACGGGCTTGGCTGCCGCACGGCGCATGCAAGGAGAGAAAGATAGAGAAAGCATTCTTTGCCTTTGCGGTGTTGAGATGGCTTCAGAGAGTGGGGATGGGGGAGTTCTGGCTGTGGGACACAGGGTAAAACAGGATTCGGGCCTTGAGGAACTGGCGGGCCAAAGGCCTACATTACCCCCCAAGCCGGGCATAGCTGGGCCCGCGGCTTTCTCTTTGGATGTTACAATACCAGGACCAGTACCTTTGCATGTTGTTAATCTACGCATATCTACGCATAAATTTATCTAGATGCAATGCAATTAGTGTATGCTATGGTTTGCTTCATACACATGAACAAGTGAGATTGCAAACTCATGTGTTAAATCTGTGCAAATATGCAGGCTATTGAAGGCTTACATTATATGAGCAACATTTCTATGTGGATGTGGCCTTGTAGAACTAATTTTATATCAGTCCAAATGCGCGGCGCCCAAGTTTTAAACTTTCCCCACGGGCACTCAAACACACACACACACTCTCGATGCATGTGGGATCATCTGAACTCTTCCAGAAGGTTCGAGAATTGGCACAGGATCATCCAGCACAGAATGATCACAGCTGAGGGACTGATAGATAAGGTCTGAGAAGTGCAGCAAAACGAGTCCGCCTCCCAAGGTTTCAGTCCCGCAATCTGTCATGATACCGCACGATAACGAACGATACCCGAACAAACACAGGCCATCGGAGATGTGTGCACCAACACAAACTTGGAGAAATTTTAATTGTCTGCCCAACTAAGCATCATAGGAGAGCTTTAGTAAGGGTCACGTTGGTGTCGGGGAACGCGAGTCGGAGAACAGATGTTGGTGTCGGGGAACAGCAATGTTGGTGTCGGGGAACAGCAATGTTGGTGTCGGGGAACATGTATGTTGGTGTCGGCCGACGAGCATTCATGTCAGGCTACATCCACTTTGCGCACTTTCTGCACTTCACGCACTTTGTGCACTTTACGCACTGTTTATGCACTTTTTGCGTGCTTTTTACGCACTTTATCCAGTTTAGGCACTTTGTGCACTGTTCGCACTTTGACATGGCGCGCATGCATAGACGCACTTTTTGCGCACTTTTTACGCTCTTCTTGTGCACTTTTTACGCACTTTGCGCAATTTACCCAGTTTACTCGCACTTTACGGACTTTTTACGCACTTTTTACGCACTTTTTGCGCACTTTTTACGCGCTTTACCCAGTTTAGACACGCGCATGCATAGACGCATTTTTGACGCACTTTTTACGCACTTTTTACGCACTTTTTGCGCACTTTTTACGCACTTTTTGCGCACGTTTCACGCACCTTTTACGCACGCACTTTTTACGCACTTTTTACTTTTTACGCACTTTTTACGCACTTTTACGCACTTTTTGCGCACTTTTTACGCGCTTTACCCAGTTTAGACACGCGCATGCATAGACGCATTTTTTGACGCACTTTTTACGCACTTTTTACGCACTTTTTGCGCACTTTTTACGCACTTTTTGCGCACGTTTCACGCACCTTTTACGCGCGCACTTTTTACGCACTTTTTACTTTTTACGCACTTTTTACTTTTTGCGCACTTTTTACGCACTTTTTACTTTTTACGCACTTTTTACGCGCTTTACCCAATTTAGACACGCGCATGCATAGACGCATTTTTTGACGCACTTTTTACGCACTTTTTGCGCACTTTTTACGCACTTTTTGCGCACGTTTCACGCACCTTTTACGCACGCACTTTTTACGCACTTTTTACTTTTTACGCACTTTTTGATTGGAGAAATCAATTGCATGTTGGGCTTTGAAAGGGAAACTTAAACAATGAATTGGAGTCGAGACAGGAACTCTTCGGAAGAGAAAACTATGCATCGAGAAATACTATTGCATGTTGGGCTTGGGGGGGAAATTTAAACAATGAATTGGAGTCGTGACAAGAACTTTTCGGAAGAGAAAGCTGTGCATGGAGAAATCTATTGCATGTTGAGCTTTGGGGGGGGAAGTTTAAACAATGAATTGGAATCGTGGCAAGAACTCTTCAGCAGAGAAAGCTGTGAATGGGGGGGGGAAATTTAAACAATGAATTGGAGTCGAGACAAGAACTCTTCGGAAGAGAAAACTGTGCATCGAGAAATTCTATTGCATGTTGGGCTTTGGGGGGGAAATTTAAACAATGAATTGGACTCGAAACAATAACTCTTCGGAAGAGAAAGCTGTGAATGGAAAAATCTGTTGCATGTTCAGCTTTGGGGGGGAAGTTTAAACAATGAATTGGAGTCGAAACAAGAAGTTTTCGGAAGAGAAAGCTGTGAATGGAGAAATCTATTGCATCTTGAGCTTTGGGGGGGGAAATTTAAACAATGAATTGGAATCGAGACAAGAACTCTTGGGAAGAGAAGGCTGTGAATGGAGAAATCAATTGCATGTTGAGCTTTGGGGGGAAATTTAAACAATGAATTGGAGTCGAGACACGAACTCTTCAGCAGAGAAAGGTGTGAATCGAGAAATACTATTGCATGTTGGGCTTTGGGGGAATTTAAACAATGAATTGGAGTCGAAACAAGAACTCTTCGGAAGAGAAAGCTGTGAATGGAGAAATCTATTGCATGTTCAGCTTTGGGGGGGAAGTTTAAACAATGAATTGGAATTGTGACAAGAACTCTTCAGCAGAGAAAGCTGTGAATCCAGAAATACTATTGCATGTTGGGCTTGGGTTTGGGGGGGAAATTTAAATAATGAATTGGAATCGTGGGAAGAGAAAGCTGTGAATCGAGAAATACTATTGCATGTTGGGCTTGGGTGGGATTTTAAACAATGAATTGGAGTCGAGACAACCACTTTGTACGCACTTTCTACGCACGTTACGCACTTTGTACGCACTTTGTACGCACTTTGTATGCACTTTGTGCACTTTGCGTGGCGCGGACTCTTTACGCACTTTTGACGCACTTTGCGCACTGTACCCAAGTTTACGCACTTTGTGCACTGTTCGCATTGACATGGCGCGCGCTGTATAGACACACTTTTTACGCACTTTTTACGCACTTTTTGCGCACTTTTTACATGTCGCGGACTTTATATACGCACTTTTTACGCACTTTACCCAGTTTACTCGCACTTTTCGCACTTTTTACGCACTTTTTACGCACTTTTTACGCACTTTTTGCGCACTTTTTGCGCACTTTACGCACTTCAACCAGTTTGCGCACTTTACGCACTTTGCGCACTATACGCAGCACTCTTTGTGCAATTATAACGCACTTTTTACGCACTTTTTGCGCACTTTTTACGCACTTTGCACACTTTACCCAGTTTACTCGCACTTTACGCACTTTTACGCACTTTTTACTTTTTGCGCACTTTGCGCACTTTACCGCAGTTTAGACACCTTGTGCACTGTTCGCACTTTGACATGGCGCGCACTGTATAGACGCATTTTTTACGCGCTTATTACGCACTTTTTACGCACTTTTTGCACACTTTTTGCGCACTTTGCACACTTTACCCAGTTTACTCGCACTTTTCGCACTTTTTACGCACTTTTTGCATCTTTTTACGCACTTTTTGCGCACTTTTTACGCACTTTGCGCACTTTACCCAGTTTAGGCACTTTGTGCATCTTTGTGCACTGTTCGCACTTTGACATGGCGCGCACCGTATAGACGCATTTTTCACGCACTTTTTACGCACTTTTTGCGCACTTTGCACACTTTACCCAGTTTACTCGCACTTTTCGCACTTTTTACGCCTTTTTACTCAGTAGACTCATTTTTGCGCACTTTTCAACCACTTTACGCACTTTGCGCACTTTGACATGGCGCGCACCGTATAGACGCATTTTTCACGCACTTTTTACGCACTTTTTGCGCACTTTGCACACTTTACCCAGTTTACTCGCACTTTTCGCACTTTTTACACCTTTTTACTCAGTAGACTCATTTTTGCGCACTTTTCAAGCACTTTACGCACTTTGCGCACTTTGACATGGCGCGCACCGTATAGACGCATTTTTCACGCACTTTTCACGCACTTTTTACGCATTTTCCACGCACTTTTTACACACTTTTTACGCACTTTTTACGCACTTTTTACGCACTTTTTGCGCACTTTGCACACTTTACCCAGTTTACTCGCACTTTTCGCACTTTTTACGCCTTTTTACTCATTTTTGCGCACTTTTCAAGCACTTTACGCACTTTTTACGCACTTTGACATGGCGCGCACCGTATAGACGCATTTTTCACGCACTTTTTACGCACTTTTTGCGCACTTTTTAACCACTTTGCACACTTTACCCAGTTTACTCGCACTTTTCGCACTTTTTACGCCTTTTTACTCATTTTTGCGCACTTTTCAAGCACTTTACGCACTTTGCGCACGTTGACATGGCGCGCACTGGTATAGACACATTTTTCACGCACTTTTTACGCATTTTTTACGCACTTTTTACGCACTTTTTGCGCACTTTTTACGCACTTTGCACACTTTACCCAGTTTACTCGCACTTTTCGCACTTTTTACGCCTTTTTACTCATTTTTGCGCACTTTTCAAGCACTTTGACATGGCGCGCACCGTATAGACGCATTTTTCACACACTTTTCACGCACTTTTTGCGCACTGTTTACGCACTTTGCACACTTTACCCAGTTTACTCGCACTTTTCGCACTTTTTACACCTTTTTACTCATTTTTGCGCACTTTTCAAGCACTTTACGCACTTTGCGCACTTTGACATGGCGCGCACCGTATAGACGCATTTTTCACGCATTTTTCACGCACTTTTCACGCACTTTTTACGCACTTTTTACGCACTTTTTGCACACTTTCTACGCACCTTGCACACTTTACCCAGTTTACTCGCACTTTTCGCACTTTTTACGCCTTTTACTCATTTTTGCGCACTTTTCAAGCACTTTACGCACTTTGCGCACGTTGACATGGCGCGCACTGGTATAGACACATTTTTCACGCACTTTTTACGCATTTTTTACGCACTTTTTACGCACTTTTTGCGCACTTTTTACGCACTTTGCACACTTTACCCAGTTTACTCGCACTTTTCGCACTTTTTACGCCTTTTTACTCATTTTTGCGCACTTTTCAAGCACTTTGACATGGCGCGCACCGTATAGACGCATTTTTCACGCACTTTTTACGCACTTTTTGCGCACTTTTTACGCACTTTGGACACTTTACCCAGTTTACTCGCACTTTTCGCACTTTTTACGCCTTTTTACTCATTTTGTGCGGCACTTTTCAAGCACTTTTACGCACTTTGACAGGGCGCGCATGTATAGAAGCACTTTTTACGCACTTTTTACGCACTTTTTGCGCACTTTTTACGCACTTTGCACACTTTATACCCAGTTTACTCGCACTTTTCGCACTTTTTACGCCTTTTTACTCATTTTTGCGCACTTTTCAAGCACTTTACGCACTTTGCGCACTTTGACATGGCGCGCACTGTATAGACGCATTTTTTACGCGCTTTTTACGCACTTTTTACGCACTTTTTGCGCACTTTTGACATCTTTTTACGCACTTTGCGCACTTGACCCAGTTTACTCGCACTTTTTACGCACTTTTTGCGCACTTTTTACGTACTTTGTGCATTTTACCCAGTTTAGGCACTTT